CATGGGAATCCCTTTCGTGGCGTGACATCGCTCTTTCGTCACGGGACCCATGGGAATCCCTTTCGTGGCGTGACATCGCTCTTTCGTCATGGGACCCATGGGAATCCCTTTCGTGGCTTGACATCGCTCTTTCGTCAAGGAACTCATGGGAATCCCTTTCGTGGCTTGACATCGCTCTTTCGTCACGGGACCCATGGGAATCCCTTTCGTGGCTTGACATCGCTCTTTCGTCAAGGAACCCATGGGAATCTCTTTCGTGGCGTGGCATCGTTCTTTCGTCACGAGACCCATGGGAATCCCTTTCGTTACGTGACATCGCTCGTTCTTCACGGGACCCATGGGAATCCCTTTCATGGCTTGACATCGCTCTTTCGTCAAGGAACCCATGGGAATCCCTTTCGTTACGTGGCATTGCTCTTTCGTCACGGGACCCATGGGAATCCCTTTCGTTACGTGACATCACTCGCTCTTCACGGGACCCATGGGAATCCCTTTCGTTGCGTGACATCGCTCTTTCGTCACGGGACCCATAAGAATCCCTTTCGTGGCGTGACATTGCTCTTTCGTCACGTGACCCATGGGAATTCCTTTCGTGGCGTGACATCGCTCTTTCGTCACGGGATCCATGGGAATTCCTTTCGTTGCGTGACATCATTCTTTCGTCACGGGATCCATGGGAACCTCTTTCTTGAAATGACATCGGTCTTTCGTCACTAGACCAATGGGAATCCCTTTTGTGGCGTGACATCGCTCTTTCGTCACGGGATCCATGGGAATTCCTTTCGTTGCGTGACATCGTTCTTTCGTCACGGGATCCATGGGAACCTCTTTCTTGAAATGACATCGGTCTTTCGTCACGGGACCAATGGGGATTCCATTCGTAGCTTGATATAAGTCTTTTGTCATGGGACACAGGAAAATCCCCTTCATTGCGTGACATCCGCCGTTCGTTTTGCGACACAGGCAAATCCTCTTCGTGGTTTGACATCCGTCGCTCGCACAATATTTGTACTGATCTGCTCCATTCTGACTGAGAACCTTGCAAAACGTTATCTCTACTTTTCCGTGAACCCATTGTAAGGCTTGGTATTTCTTCGTTTTCCACAGCACAGAGCCTCTTTTGATTGAACGTTGTTACTGCTAATGTAATTCCATGCATGCTCGTGGTATAATATGCATATACACATCAAATGAATCTAAATATCGACAGTGACTTGAATATTACCACTGTTAGTGCGCTCTACGGTCTTTGTCCGTAAGTGCTATCTTCGTATGACCTGAAACGTACATTACAACAGCCAATTACGATAGACCTTATTCGACGTCGTCGTCGGCATTGTTTCCCATTTCAGATCACGTGTCATTCCCTTGAGTATCATTTCTTTGTTTTCGCATATTTGCGCTTGAGAGGATGCATTAATACGGATGCAACTCAAACAAAGAATCTAGATCTTATTCTCTAATGGGAAAACATTGCACCACAACGACTAGGCCACTATGCATATGACAAAACGAAAGAATTTCAATTTTATGAGAATTGGAAATCTATGTATGTCCTCCAGCTATGTCCTGAAACCATTCAAGTTTTGTACTCAAACAAAGGTGTAGGATTTTTTTGGAATAAAAAACATCATTAAAAGCATGGAAAGGCGGAAGTCAATGAGATATCTCAAAATACATAAAAGCAGTACTCACAAAATGTACGTCTTCCTTGAAATTGCTTGAAAATTAGATTTCAACTCTTAAAAAAGCTAATCCGAGTCATTAATACCTCGTTTGGTAAACATTTCATGCCGTTTAAGCCAGTATTTTAAAACAAAGACGTGTTTTGTCCCTGTGTTTACATTACGATGTTGTTGCCCGACTCTTGTTTGCTTCAATGCGCTTCAACGACACTTGGGCTTTCGTTTTCGAGCCAAGACCAACGAGTTTAAATAGAATCAAACCTAGTCCATTTTTATACCTGTATTTAAAGCATATTTTAGTATAAAAAATAAAGAAGAAGGCTTGTTCGACGTACCTTGCATTTCGCTTGCTTGACGCTTGCCCTCAAAGTAAAATTTCTTGGAAATAAAACCACAGGGATCCCAATGAGTCAAATCACAACACGCCCATGCGTTGCTTTCGAAAGAACGAACATTCCTAGATAAAGTTATTAAAAAACTTTATCATATGACCCGTACCTTCCCGTGCGCGCGGTCTTATAAAAACCTTCGGGAAGCCGTACGGCTTTGAGCGAGCAGGGCCGCTCGCGGGGGGTACTCTTGCCCGTTTAGGGTAGGGATGTGCCGCTGAGCCCTCTGAACCCTGACCCTGTTCCAGAGTAAAATCGCTGAAATAAATACCCTGTTCCAGAAAAAGATCGCTGAAAACCATAACCTTTTCCGGTAGTGCGAAAATAGATACCCTGTTCCAGAGAGGAGAGAGTGTGATTTTATATACCCTGTCCCAGAGCGAGCGCGATTTTATATACCCTCTTCCAGACCAAAATCGCTGAAAAACATACCCTGTTTGGCGGCACGTACCCGTATAGCGAATATAGGGGAGTAATCCCCTCCGGGCTCGGTCCGTACGCTTCACCTCGAGCCAAATATTTTCCCGTACGGCCCGACCTAACTCAGCCAATAAGCATTTTATCATATGACCCTAAATAAAAAAGATACTTTAAAAGTTGCAAATTATGTCAATACGGTCGCAGGTCGCAATCTTAAGAAATGTAGTACCGTATCCCGCTGGAAACCTTCGCGATTCCCGATTCCCGGCACCTCAAAAACACGAAATCCCGCTTCCCGCAGACTCCCCCACCCCACCCCTCCTTACCTTGAATAATAACCTGCCTGTCTTTAATACCAGCGGTACTCCCCATGAGTATATCAAATCCAAGATGGCGATCCTGCCAACTCATACCAGATACCAAGCAACTCCTGTCTATAGATCGGGCCTTAGACTAAGAGAAAAATATGTTTTAATGTTAATATTTGTAGCTTTTCTTTTACTATGCTTTGGAGCGTTTTTTTATGTACCTGATTTAAAAGATCGGACGTATTTAGATGACGCTTATAAAAGGTTTGTTGGTGCTGGTGGAGAAATTTTCCCCTTAAAACCGCCTCGAACTCCTATCGTAAAAATAAAAGGTAAGAAAAAGTATTAATAACTAAGGCTTGGATAGTGATCTTAGATGATAAAGTGTTAATTTTACGTGGTTTTAGTGACTTTTGCATTATTTTCTTACCTGCGGTTTTTTGTCTTTTCTTTCATTTGGTGCGAACAGATTTTGATAATACACAACAGAATTCAAAACCACCAACTTTATTAAAGAAAACTAACCCTCCAAGTCTACCTGATAATCATAAAGAACTGATGGAAAAGATACAGAGGGACAAAGAAGAATTTATACGGAAGAAGAAGAAGGAAGAAGAGGATAAGAAGAAAGCAGAACTCGAGAAGATAATAAGTTTAAAGAAGAATTCAAATACTAGTGCTTTTGGTGTTGATGGAGGTGAACCTGCAGATCCCATCACGAAACACAGAAGAAACTTCGTGAAAAAGGCAAGTTAATATCCCTCTAGAGTCTCTCAAGTACTAATAATGAGTCTGTTAGGAATACCATCTCTCTAAATATCTATAACTCTAATTACTAATGATTTCAATAAAGTAAAAGTACCTCCCGAAGGAAGGAAGGTCCTCCAGTCTACCAGCTGAATTTTCTGATTTTTTAGGAAATTTTGACTATAATTTTATCGTTGCATGAATTTATTCTTGTCTAAGTTTGGTTATTGAAGATAACCTGTTAATAAGCCAGCTTTGATCGTCAAGCAATTACGTTCTTGACCTTTACACTGAAAATATCAAATTTTTAATTTTTTCTTTTACAAAAATTACTGACTCCTTTTCTATAATGATATGAACGACTTAGAACAATTCTTTTACGAAACAATACTTTTTCTCTTAATATAGCTCATTCAAAACCGCTAAAATATAATCATTTCAGCTGTTTGTGTTATTAATTTACTCTGTACGTATTATCCAAACAATTTTCAACACGTATTGCAATATTTACATTTATAGAAACACTGTCTTTAATTTGCTATACTCGATATTAACTGGATTGAACTCCAACTTTATTTTACATTTTTTTCAATAAAATATTACAAAATATATTTATATATCTACATACATAAACTATTTCTTGTTGTAGAAGAAATAGACTATTTATTATGCCTGAGTAAACTAGATAATTTACTCAAGTGATGTTAAGCTTTCGCTTTCTTTTTTCTTTTTGCAAACAATTAAAGTATTTAAGAGTTAATTGAAAACTTCATAACTTGTTTTAAAAAAATGTGAAATTTAAGATATTTTGAATATTTGAATTAATAGTTTTTTCTGACGTACTTAGGGTAAGGCACAGGCCGACGGAGGCTTAGAATTTAATTGCTTAGGTTTTGAATGCTCTTTGATTGTTAGAAATCATTTTTCCATGTTAATAATAGATGGACATTGTTTTTTAGATTATAAATAAGAAATATTTAGTCGACTTAGACTTGAATGAATTACTTACATTCATATTTAATGAATTTCAGTTTTTTCATTTTGTATGTTTGTTTTTGTGTTTGCATTTATTTATGCTAATTTTTAAAAAAATGTGTGTCCAAGTTATAGTTAAAGACAACTGCATAGAACCACCTTTACCCCTTTACCCATAAACGAAACTTGATCTTAGATTAAATATTTTTTGTCATCTTTGTTTTGTTTAATGCCCCCTGGCAAGATGGCCATCGCATTGATGAAGTTAGGCTAACTCTCAAAATCTCCTCCTGTGTGTTATGCTTTTCAAATCTCAGACCACCTGTCATTCCCTAGAGTATTATTTCTTTGCTGAACAGTTTTCATGAGAAGACTCTTAAATATTGGATATAACTCAAACAAATAATCTTATTCTCAAGAGAATAGTCTTTACACATTACACCCAAGCTAAAAGGTTCTATTTATACTAAACATAATACTAAATATTCATTATCAAATCATGATAAATAATTGTTTTTTATTTACTTACATGTGTAGATGATGAAGCATGCTTGGAATGGCTATGTCACCTATGCCTGGGGTAGCAATGAGCTCAGACCAATCAGTAAAACAGGTCATTCAGCATCAATCTTTGGTACAGGTTCCATGGGTGCTACTGTTGTTGATGCCTTATCAACACTTTATCTTATGGACATGAAGGAAGAGTTTGAAAGAGGCAAGAAATGGATTGCTCTGAGTCTGAATTTTAACCAGGTGAATTATTTTGAAGAGTAAATTTCTATATAGTTAGTGTGGTGATGGTGATGATGGCAGTGATGATGGTGGTGATGCACAATCAAGATGATGCATGATAAAGATGATGATTAGGACACTTTATAATGGTTGGCAGTGGTGATGATAATGGTGATATTGATGTGTTATGATTGTGATGATAATGATGTTGGTCACAGTGATGATGGTGGTATACTAATGGTTGATGGTGATGATAATGGTGATATTGATGGGTGATGATTGTGATAATAATGACGTTGGTCACTGTGATGATGGTGGTGATACTGATGGGTGATGGTGGTGATAGTGATGGTAGTGATGATGAAGGTGGTGATGATGGTGTTGGTATTTGGTGATATGATGGTGGTGGTGATGGTGTTGGTATTTGGTGATTATGGTGGTATTGATGATGGTGGTGATGATGATAGTGGTGGTGCTGGTTGATGATGGTGGTGGTAGAGATGATGGTGGTAGAGATGATAATGGTGGTGCTGGTTCGTGGTGGTGATGGTGGTGCTGGTTTGTGATGATGATGGTGGTGGTTATGGGGGTAATACTGATGGGTGATGATGATGATGATAGTAGAGATGATGATGGTGATGCTGGATGGTGATGGTGGTTGGTAATAGTAACATTAATGTTTATATTATATCTATATTCCTTCTCCAGGCATCAGATGTCTCTGTTTTTGAAATCACTATCAGATTTCTAGGAGGACTGCTCAGTGCTTATGCATTATCTGGGGAAGAGGTAAACCAGACATTAGAATCAGTTGAATCCAAAAAATTGCTGAAGAAACACAAACTTCTTTATTTGATATATTATCTATTGTTGTTACTAGATTTTCAAAGTCAAAGCCAAAGAACTTGGGGACAAGCTTCTTCCAGCATTCAATACGCCAACAGGAGTCCCTTGGGCCATGGTGAACTTTGTTAGGTATTATTATTATATTTGATTCTGTACACCGTAGCAAGAATCAATCATATCAAACCCTGAAACAACCTCTGGGCTGATCTAAGTCAGGGCATGGCTAACTCACAGATTGAACCCTGAAACAACCTCTGGGCTGATCTAAGTCAGGCATGGCTAACTCACAGATCAAATGGAACAACCCCTGTGCTGATCTAAGTCAGGGCATGGTTAACTCATAGATCGAACCCTGAAACAATCTCTGTGCTGTCTAAGTCAGACAGGCTATCCAGATCAAAATTGAATTTAGCAATAATAAGTACTAATAACTAGACTTTTTTGTACCTTGTAAGGACCCAAATGCAGTTGTTAATGATAATAGTCAATTGTATTTTGTGTTTGTCTGCAGTGGAAGTGGCCATAACTGGGGCTGGGCGTCTGGAGGATGTTCAATTCTGGCAGAATTTGGTACCCTTCACTTGGAGTTTGTCTATCTTTCTAAGATCACTGGAAACCCTATTTATGCCAAAAAGGTTAGCAAAATAATTAGTTACAAAAATGCCACAACCTGAATGAACTGACTGGTATATATTTCAGAAATGTGTATGTCCAGAAAATATTCATGCCTCACCCATGGAGGAAATTGGAAATTCTGTAGGGGAGGGGCCCAGGGGGTACTCCCATATACAAACTATACAGGGATGATCCGCTGAACAGGGTATGATTTTCTGAGCTTCTTATCATAAACAGGGTATGCAATTTCACTCAAGTTCCAATTTCTTCCTGAGTTTCCTGTCATATTCAGGGTTTCTACTTTTGTATTGACCGAAACTGGTTATTATGGTCGTAAAAAAAATGATAGTGAAAAGACATGACAATATTGAAACAGGAACTCAGTGCAATAAATTATGTCTATCATAAACAGGGTACCCCTTTCAGAACCCAGCAGAACACCCCTACCCGAATTCTGGCGGAGTACCCCCCCCCCCCCCCCAGRGGGAGGGGGTTTCAGAGAAAGAACAAAATTACAGAGTTTGTATGGAAGAAAGTTCCTAGGGTAGAGGGTTCTTTTACAAATTCCCTCTGTAGTGGAGGTATGGATATTTTCTGGAATTACACAATACTGTAAAATCCTGGTTATATGGGGGGAAGAGGAGTATATTAAAAGATATTGTAAAATATATGAGATTATTTGTTTGCTTTTATTCAAGGTTCACAGAATACGAGAAGTCATGGATCAAATACAAAAACCCAATGGTCTATATCCCAACTATCTGAACCCTCGCAGTGGAGTATGGGGATCACGTAAGTTATATCTCCAATATACCATAACAGTACACCTCATAGTTTTTACCAGGAATATCATTCCCTTGAGTAGTATTTCTTTGTTCACAAGTAATACTCGAAAAAGTACATTAAATTAAGTACTATAAATTGAACTAAAAAAGAAAATTTTGTTCCCAAGGAAATAACACATGGTCTGAAATGGGAAAATATTATGCTCAAGCTAAAAAAGAGTTATTTGGCATTGAATTTTCTTACTTCTTAATCATTCTCAGTTGTTTTAAATGATTCAATGTATGATATTATTGCAGAGCATGTTTCCCTCGGTGCACTTGGCGACAGTTTCTATGAATACCTTCTCAAGTCCTGGTTCATGTCTGGACAGACGGACATCAAAGCAAGAAACATGTATGACAAAGCTGTAGAAGTGAGTATCTACACTTATTTCAATAAAGTTAGTCACCAGAAAAGCTACAAAGCTGAGACCGACAAGGATTATGGGTAGATACATTTTACATGTTTCAACCTCTTGATTACTGTTGATGGACATGAGATCTTCTACTAGTAACAAGTTCACCTCCTCTAAGCATCCTCAACTGCTGCAGTTTGTGTCAAAAGCTTTACTTGTTGAATATAAAATAATTCCCGATTCTCAGTGATCTCAGCTTTCTAGGTTTTTGGTGACTAACGTTATTGAAATAAGTATATACAAAGCAATAAAGAGACACTAAAATCACAGTACTTGTATTCAGAAAAAACAGTACTTTGTGGGTTCCTGTGCTGAGTGTGCTAGAGGGAGACTGGTACCTCTATTGGTCTCTCCTCAGACCTACTTTACCTGTCAGTCCTGTTGTCCACAGGAAGCCCATGGATTCTATAGAATCTTACTAATATGTTTGTTTTGATAGGCAATTGAAAGGACCTTGGTGCAACAATCAAAGTCTAATCTTACTTATGTAGCAGAGTACAAATATGGCAGACTAGAACACAAGATGGATCACTTGGTAAATATTAATGCCATGTTTTACCCTTGGGTAGTGGGGTGGGGAAATTTGTGCAGGTATAAAATGGGCATAGAGGCTTTGCACCATCATGTGCCCACGCCCATAATACAGCTTGGGCTGCCTGGGGTTGGACAAGGCAGAACGATAAGATCCCTTTGCTCTTGGGAATTGAATTCTTTCTCATGTAAAATTATTGTATTGTTCCTGCTATCTAACATGGTTGCTGTCACGTAATGGTACATAAAAAGCTACTATGCTATTTAATTGGGCATTTAGTATTATAAGAGGGATCATAAAGGGGCAGTGGTTGAGTGGGAGAAATTTGTTCTGATACAAAATTGTTTTCCTCCCGTTTGTCAAGTGCAGTGAATATGCATAAAGTTATTGTGTCTAAATCTACTGTTTGTTTACCTCAGGCTTGTTTTACAGCTGGGATGTTTGCTTTGGGAGCCAAAGGATCCAAAGATGAGAAGCATTTTCTTAACCTTGGAGCTGGTCTTGCCAACACTTGTCACGAGTCATACAAAAGAACTGGTAATTATTAACATCTCCCCCTCCCCCTCCCCCTGGAATCCTGTGGTCTTATCAGACTACAGTCATCTGTGAGTTGTTTCAGAGTTAACCTAATCCTAAGGACAACTTATCACTAAGGACATCAAAATAATTAGTACAGTATTATATTCTGTATGTGCTTGATTATTTTACCATTTTTATCGTCACCATCACCATCATCAGTACCATCATTATCACCATCATCAACCCATACCATCATACTATGCCATCATCATCATGACCATCACCGGCATCATGTTTATCACTTCACTCATCATCACCATCAGCATCATTATCATGTATCATCACCATCATCATGTATCACCATCATCATCATGTATCATCATCATTATGTATCACCATCATCATCATGTATCACCATCATCGTCATCATCATCACCACCATCACGTATCATCATCGTCATGTATCACCATCATCATGTATCATCATCACCATCATCATGTATCACCATCATCACCATCATTATCACCATCCTTACTATTGATTTAATAATCTGATGCTCATTTGATACTATTACCACAGCGACTAGCATAGGACCAGAATCATTCCGATTTGAAGGCAACTACGAGGCTGTTGCACTGCGTCAGAATGAGAAATATTATATTCTGCGACCAGAAGTGATTGAAGGATGGTTTTACATGTGGAGATTCACTAAAGATAAAAAGTACCAAGACTGGGCCTGGGAAGCTGTGCAGGTAAGAATATACTAAAGGGTCCCAAGGTTGTTCTCTGTGGGATGCCACATTTGAAATGAAATGTTATTCTTGTTTGCCACAATTCTTGTTTGCCACGAAGAATTGTACAATACATTGCTGCTATACTTATTACATAATTATTAATTATGTCGTGACAAAGTTACTAATGATATTTTCCTTCATTTTTCTACAGAATTTAGAGAAACATTGCCGTGTGGATGGTGGATATAGTGGTATAAGAGATGTCACAACCAGTCCAGCATCACATGATGATGTACAACAAAGTTTTTTCCTAGCAGAGACTTTGAAATACCTATATCTTATATTCTCGGAGGATACTTTGTTACCTCTTGATAAATGGGTCCTCAACACAGAGGCGCATCCTTTACCTGTTATAGGGAAAGCTGAATTACCAGCAGGAGCAAGATAGTTCTGCGGCAAGACTGGTTTTTACTAGTTGTATTGTCTTATTTAGAATGGTCTTTACTGGAGGTTTGAGTAAAGATGTCAAATGACCCTCTGATCATGACGCTAACAAATTTGGAATGGCTTTAAGAGGAGTTTTGTATGAGTTTAAAAGATTATTTGGGGGTTACAGTTTTTTAAGGGGTGACCCTTAGCTCACTGTGCGAGGCTTACCAATTTTGAAAAACTCGTCATATATTAAACCCCACTAACTTCCAACTTCCGCCAACTTTAAAAAGCACACGTTATGCTAGAATCATAGACCTCTTCTGCCATTGGGCATAACGTTTTTTCCATTTCAGACCACGTCATTCCCTTGAGTATCATTTCATTGTTCAACAGTTGTGCATGAGAAGGTACATGAATATGGATAAACCAAAACTAAGAATCTTATTCTCAAGGGAATGACATGTGGTCTGAAATGGGAAAACATTACAGTACACCCAAGGAACAGACCGAGGTCTATTCTGAGACAGCACTCAATATTTTCTCTCATCCAATCAACACCTTAGTTTTACTATATGTATTTTTTCCGCCCATACAATGTGATGTCAACTTTCATGTAAGTATTATTTAAGTGCCCTTCAAAGAAACATTTGAACACTTTCAACCATTCACTTTCAACCACATTTCTGTTTTTAGATGCTGAGCATTTTCAGTTTTTCACTTTTGACTCCAATACTGGTTCAGTCATAAGTGAAAACCATCCAGGGCCTGGTTGTACGAAGGGTGGATAGCGCTATCTAACAGATCTTATCCAGTGGATAAATTTATTGGATAACAGTATTTCTTTTTTCACTGGATAAAGATTTATCCATTAAATAGTGCTATCTACGTTTGTACAACAAGGCTGGTTATACGAAGGGTGGATAGCGCTATCCCACAGATCTTATCCAGTGGATAAATTTATTGGATAACAGTATTGCTTTGTATACTGGATAAAGATTTATCCATTAAAAAGTGCTACAGTGTATCTACCTTTGTACAACTAGGCTGGTTGTATGAAGGGTGGATAGCGCTATCCCACAGATCTTATCCAGTGGATGAATTTATTGGATAACAGTATTGCTTTATCCACTGGATAAAGACATTTATCCATTAAATAGTGCTATCTACCTTCTGTACAACTACTCAGGCTTAAAAATCTTTTGATTAATGGCTGCTCAAAAACTGCAAGCTGTAACATAAACATAAAAAAATCATATTGGAATGGTAATTAAATTATTACCAGCCATCATGTGTCAATCTACGATAGTCCAATGCTTGGCCATGTAGTGACCGAGTAATTGACTGTGAAATATAAATGAAAACATTCCTGTCATTATGACTAGTAGATGTCATTGAAAGTTCATAAATAAAAAATCATGTTTAAATTGGATGTATTTTGAGATAAAACAAAAATCCATGATTTCTTAAGACAGATTTAAGCATTTTCTCATTACAGACCACAAATCATTCCCTTGAGTATTATTTGTTTGTTTCTCATAAATATTAGAGTAGATATTTCTATAGAATGAAAAATAATATTCATGTTGGAAATGTTATAAATGTGCTTAAAATCCATTTGTGTTACAATTATTGAGTTATTTGTAGAAAGTACTGTACCACAACATTTTGATTCCAACAAGCAGCATAAAACAGACACACCATCCAGTCTATGGCATCGCCTGATGAAGACTAGCAGTTTGCAGACCAAACATCACAGTCCTTGTACAAATGAACCTCGCAATTTTGAGACAAATGGATGAGTATCATTTCTAGTATACATGTAAATGGTGTAATATTCAATCAATCAGAGAAATTTCTTATACACAATATCCTGTGGCTTGTAATGAGAAAAGATAATGAGTTATCAATCTTGAATTATCATGCTTGTAATTTTTTTCTGTCGGCTTCTTCGCAACAATTATTGATGAATGCATGTTTGAGAACAAGTTCAACTAGCAAAAGTACCACCATTCATTTTTACCAGGAAGGGGAAGGAGCACTGGGATTTCCCCTTTAATTCCTTGTTATCCATTCTGTTTATTGCTTAAGTGCTGTGCGACTCAGATTTTTTGTGTGCCCCCCCTGGATCCCCCTTGAACCTTTAATGACCCCACCTCCTCCCTGGTAAAAAAAATGAATGGTCCCTAAGAAAATGTAAAATTGAAATAAAGTGTTTTTTAATAACGATAAAAAAATGGAAAGTACAAATTTAATGCAATATAAATATTTGGAATCATTTTTAATATAATCAAGAGAAGCATAAGAGTGCCAGGACACGTTTGAGTAATTAAACCCATAAAAGTAACTTGCTTCTATGCATCATGTATCCAAGAGTATAAAGGAAAATGACAATGGAAACGTCATGAAGTAGTTCCAGAAATCATCTACAAATGGGGGAGGGTGGGTGGTGGTTCAATACATTAATATTAGTACATGTACAGTTAGTGTCAGAGTTAAGTATACATAAAGTTTTATTCCATTCTTTAGAACCAGTACCACATTTAAGAAAAGCAAATGATTAATACTGAATACCTTCTAATGATCTTTCTAATCATGTATTGTAGATCTCATCCAAACAATACTCTTGCACTCGCACAGTCTTTGAAAAGATTTATACTCCCGTCCTAGTTCTCCTACCAAACTACCCTGTTACATGAGGTGGAATCTTTACCTGCATTTCCTCCAATCAAACAATGCCATCACACTTGAGCAGTTCTAAAAAGAATCTTACTTCCCTCCCACTCATACCCAGTACAGATTTGCAGCACAATATTATCAAGATACAACAGTCTACAGTCTTGTCTTTAATTTTCTCCCTAAAACTTCCTAGGAATTAAGTACCTCAACAAGTCTTTATCATGTGCAGTGCAAGCTACGTCTTTTCTTCATGATTACCAACAAGTGTTCTCTTTAACATTAATATTGTCATGAGAATTTGGCTTTGGAGAAATCCATCTCAGGATGCTGTTCCATAAATCTAGTGAGGAAAAGCAAAAGGCTATAAATTCCAACCATGAAAGCAATGTGTTTTTAGCTGTATTTCTAGTGTTTTTTTGAATTTTGACCAGAACTAGTTGTTCAAAACCATCAAGTAATCAGTGTTTATCAATCCAATCTAGCAGGCCAGATGTTTTTGATCCATCATTTCTGACTATTACATGTGGCTTTTGTTTTAATTAGACATCAAGCGAACAAAGTAGTTCTAACTTTACACAAAAAGAAATATAAGTAGATGGACATAATTCTTAACAACTTACTTTTTGAGGACATCTTGTTTCTTTTGCTCATCTGAGGTAGGAAGACCCATCTGTAAACAGCAACGACAAGAGCATTGTTAATAAACTGCATTCCAAGGTATGAAAGTGATTCAGTATACCTACAGTAAAGCTACTGTACCTGTTTTTGTCTTTGGTCGTACATCATCTTCTCTACCATGCCTCTAGTATCATCATCTAAATCTCCCAACTAAAAAGGATGGGAAACCTGTTACTATGGCTACTACAGTGATGTTGCAATGACGACTTTGGTGTTACTGTGGTAAATTGTTACCATGGCTAATACAGTTATGTTGGCATGACTACTGTAGTGTTACCACAGTCAATGAAACATCAGATCATATTCACTATGGTAACATGTTATCATGGCTACTTTGTTACCATGGTAACTAATAATAGTTTACCCTTTTTTACAAGTATGTGCTATCTTAAAGCTCAATACCAGCCCAGTAACCAGGCTACTCAAGTGTACAGTAATCATCATTGCACAAATAATGATGACGATGTTGACAATAATAATTGCATTACCTTGGAATTCTCTGGTTGAACTTTTTTGGTGTTAATTTCTGGGTCTGTAGTGACGATCTGTGACCACCATTCCATCTGGTTAGCCTGTTGTAACATCAAAGAATTCATAGTAATGTAATGTCCCTATATATGCATTGATTTGTACCTCAAACACAACACTTCTCCACAGAGCAAGATGTTTAAACCATGGTACCACAGGTGGGAAACAAGTCCATTTTTCATTAATTCATTTATTCATTCTACCAAATCTTTTAATGCCTAATAATGTAGGGTGGATATAATATCACCTTTTCCATGGATATAGTGAGCAGTTTATTATCCAGAGTCCACATCGACTCCTCAATCTTGATCTAGGAATAAAGATTATGAACAATGACAAATTAATATCAAATTGATGAGTTTATTTATTTGTTTTCTCGGTTAAAGAATTGTCAAACCTTTTTCGGTAATTCTCCATCTATGATCGGTGGATGGCCTTTGAGCCCAGCTTTGATGTGCTGTAGACAAAACAAAACAAAAATTACATATAACAATCACAACTCATATTTTACAACAAATAGCAATTCTGTACATTTTATATTGACAATACTGTCTGTCATTAAACAACATGTCAAGAGTCAGTGTGTGTATAGAATATTCAAATGTAGTAAGTAGCAAACTTACACTGTAGCTTTTAAAGCCTATGTGCGTATATATAAAAATATTTATGTTTCCCTTTTTTACCTTTTGTTGTATATCAACTGCAATATCTCTTCCTTTAAGCTTGAAATCCACCTTCAAGGGTATTTTAATCTGATGTTCATGTAAAGAATATGAAGATTAAGCTATAAGAAACTGCACTGTAATAACTTCAAATCTTCCCACTTCAACATTAAATAACCTTAACGGCTAACAAACAGTCAATGAATGGCTGCCAATCTGTCAAGAGGGCATCTGGGATACTGTTCTTGCATTTTAATGATTTTGACTACAATCAAAAGTTATTTCAAGAATGAAAAAGTGATAAAACATTAAAAGGTTGGTGTGCCATGCTTACCTCAACTTCTTGGAGAGTCTGCAAAAAATGTTAATAAAAACAGTTAATCATAATCACCTTTAACAGGGAAATGCTTGGTACCAATAGCTAGTTTAAAGTTACAATACCAAAACCCTTTCTTACCATGGTCAATGTACTTAGCTAACAGCTACTTTACAGACATGCCACAAAAAGGTATACCTGATACATATAGCAAGACCCAGTTTGGATACCCAGCTTTTTATGTAATATATATTATACAGTATGGGTGGCCGTGTTGTATCCGATATATTGGATACAACACAGACATGAATACTGTAGATTACTTATCAAACGTCTAGGTTAGTTCCTTTGTGTTTCGCTAAAATTTTCAAGATAAAAGTGAATCTGACCAAGAAAATCCATCTTAAAATTTAAGCAAATGAACAGGATTCTGTATCTGATTTACAAAACTCTTCACGGTTGTGATTTCTGTTGTGTTTTTTCCTCATGCATTATTAATGAGTTTAATAAGTAACATATTGATAACTAGATAAGAAAGCTGTGTTAACTGAAGCGGGGTCAAACCCTTGATATGCATGTAGTGTTATCTTGAACTTGAGACTGCATCCCAGGAACTTGTAACACTATATTCAAACACTATACAACATTTTATCCTTGGCTGGATATCATCTCGAACACCTGTTAATATTTCAAATATTTTATTCTTATCCCCAAGAGGTTTGAGATATTGGGACACCACTGTATCTACCGTAGCAATTATTTGTGGGTATTCTGTACAGTACCTACTGAATCAACAGCACATCAATCACATATTACTGTACATTTCTGTATATCTCTAAATATTAATACCTGTGTCCATTTATAATTTGGAAGGTCGGCACCATTGCCAGCATTTGGTTTTAACTTTCCTTTAGAATCCTCATCCTCCTCTTCTCCATCCTCATCTTTTCCATTTTTAACTTCCTAAAGTAGAAAATAGAATTTATTCAAAACTGTGCTATTGAAGGTGCAGGGCTGTAGCAGCCAGTTTGGTTTGCCCAGTTATTTTTACCATCAGAAACTTTTATAAAAAACATTTATTACACAAGTAAATAAAAAAAAACACCAATATATATACCTCTTTCTTTTCTTGTTTATCTTCACTCTCTTCTACTTTTTCTTGTTTTTTCTTTTTGTCTTCTTCCTCTTTTATTTTTCTTGCTTCTTCCTCAGTTACTTCTTGTATTTTGGGTTGAGTTTCTTCAGCAGCTTTCTTTGCTTTTGCAGCTCTCAATGCCTCTGCTTCTCTTTGCTCTTTTTCTTTTTTCTAAGAAATAAAACATTGACCCTCTTGGTTAGAGTCAAACCTTTAAGTGAACACCCTTCATTAAACTTTTCATTAAAATTTTCTTTACATATTTATAGTAAAGCAATCCCTTTTCAGTGGACGATGTTCGTTTAATGGAAAACTAGTTGCACAGATGTATATTTTTCTTCCCAGATTTTATTGTAAAACAAACCGACAAACCTCAATTCAGTGGACAATGCTTATTAAGTTGGCACCAGGCAAGGTCCTGTGTTCTCTGAACACAGGTACTACTGCTTTAAAGTTTTATTTTCTACCATAATTCCAAGAAGAAGAAAAAAGGAAATTTACCAAACATTCTCCAGTCCCATGCCCTTAATGAACCCCTGTTGTAATGGTCGACAATAGGTAGAAGCACTTATTTAATTATTTTATTTATTATGCTTCCAACAAACTGTTGAGGAGAACTAGACAGGCGATACCACCTATATTATAGTCTCCCTATGGACTAGTCACTTACTTGAACTGCTCTCTTCTCATATTCATGAAATTTTGTAGTGACTATTTTTTCTGCTGAACCTTTCTGAGCACCAACAAAAAAGTCTGTTTTTCTTTCCAGAAAACCAAAGAAATGATCCAACAACTGCAGGGGAAAAATATATATAAGTTTGACTGGATCCAAGTGTATCTATGTTGCTTCTCTGACCTCCTTCGTTTAATTGGTAAAATTGGCCAGAGGAGAGAAGGAGAAGAGGTGTCTAAGTTGGGTGTAATGTTTTCCCATTTCATACCATTGTCATTCCCTAGAGTATCATTTCTTTGTTTATTGGTTGTTGTGCATGAGAAGACACATGAATATGGATACAACTTGAACAAATAATCTTATTCTCAAGACAATGAAACATGGTCTGAAATGAGAAACCATTATGCCCAAGATAAAGAGCTCTTTCGATACAACAGATCTAATTAAATTTGCAATGGCTTTTAATTTTATACCATGTTATTCTCTTGAGTATTATTTCTTTGTTCACCAGTAATACTTAATAATTACGTAAATAAACTTAAATCAAATTTTAGCAAAGTGAACTATCATTTGTCAAGGGAATGACATGTGGTCTGAAATAGGACAAATTGTATAAGTAAATTCCATAAATTTTAAAAATTATAATAAATATCAATTAATATAATAACAACAAATGATATCACCGTTATTCAATCAATCCCATCAGGAATATGGGAACATGTTATGACAGTTTCACGTGTTGCATGCCAGGTTTGAAAGTCTTGAATTAAAGTCAAAAACAGCTGATTTACCTCATGAATTCCTCCTTCACACTGCTGTGCCATGGCCATCAGCATCCCATCGAACCGTTCTGACTCCGGAACACTCATTCTAATGGAATCTTAAGAAAAAAAGGAAGAAAATTCGCTTAAAATTTGCAGAAAATGAGTTCCTTCAAATGCTTGAAATTTTGATCCAAATGGGATAAACCGCTGACATATGTTGCAAAGCTTCATGGGATATTTCCACCCGCCACAGGACGCCCAAAACCTCCAAAAATATCCACCCTTTGTTTTACTAAATTTTAACAGCTTAAAAACAACTGTTTGATAGAATTCTTGTATTCTATAAAATTATTATCCAATTTATATAAATAAAAATCAAACAAATAACTAAGCAAGCATTGTAAAATGATCTTAGAGGTAACTTTAGCTCGGGCTTCCTGTGTCCCTTAATGCATCGCGCGTCAAATAAACATGGCGGATGCGGAAGTGAGAAGCAACGTTCTAAACTTTGACGATGTGGTCAATATTCTTTCCTATTTGTCCCCTCAGGACCTCGTTAACGCTTCTAAGGTTTGCAGGCTTTGGAATGAAGCTGCTAATACCGCTAGTTTGTGGAAAAGACACTGTCTTCAACGCTGGTCCTTCTGCAACTTGAACATCACTCCAGGTAAGGTAACCGGAAGTAAAATAAGAGCATAGAAAATTCTTCATTCTTGACGTTTTTAAACAAATTTTCGTAATTTCTGGTAGTAGAGCTTACTGCATCGGTGGTAGATGGAGGGAAGAGGTAAATAATACAGTCTAAAGAGCTCAGCTTCTTTTGCAAAACATTTTCGTTGCAGGCGAAAAAACTTGGAATAGGTATTACGTCACACGGTGCAAGATCGACCAGGGGGCCGCTACTGGAAGACCAGGGTTGGATTATGTTTGTAAAACACTTCGCGGGCACAAGGGCATAGTAAATGATGCTATCTTTGTTACTACGAATGACATATATGACGAAAATATCATCGACAAACAAGCAAGCCCTGTTGTTGCGAGTTGTGGTCGGGACAAGATGGTATCTCTGTGGAATGCACACGAAGGAAAGAGTGTCTGGAAAAACTGTGATGCACATGAAACATCTGTATCATCGCTCGCTCTCATTAAACCAGAAACATCCTTTGCAAGTGGCGATCAGCAGGGTGTGGTCAATATCTGGGACGTTACGACAGGACAAAACATCAAACTACAAGAAACACACAGTAGCGAAGTGACTAGATTATGCTGTGGGCCTGATGTATTTGGATCAAGCAAAGAAGTCACTGGCCAGTCACTACTCTATGTAGCATCACGCTCAGGATCAGTTAAATTATGGGATATCCGTGACACCACTAAGGCGCAGCATGTAATAGACACATCTATCCATAATCTAACCATGATGAAGCTGAAAGGAAGCTATACATTAGTTCTGTCTGGTAAGGGATCTCTATTTCAGGATATGCAGGCTATTAAAGTTTATGATATCCGAAATCTTGCTACTAACAGCTTCAGAGGTCCAGATATTTTCTCTTTAGATTCCCCACTTGATAATATTACGACCATGTCATGGATCCCCAGTCATCCCAACCAGTTAGTGGCAGGTTATACAAGTGGATCCATAAGGATATGGGATATTACTAATGGACAGACCATCAACACTTTCAAACCCCATTTGGGAGCTGTCACTGCATTATCAGCTGTTGGTTCCAAGCTGATATCAGCTGGGAAAGAATGTTGTCTGCACCTGTGGCACCTTGAGAAAAACAAGAGTATAGATTCTTTCATGGATCATAACTCTGAAATCACTGATGTGTATGCTGATGCATTCAAGGTCATGTCTTGTTCCAGGGATTTCTCCATTAGGGTGTATTCTTGGGTGGACAAAACCGATGGTGAAGGAAAGTGTGTTCGTTCACTAGATAGTCGATACACTTTGCTCGGGGGGTCACTGCAGAGGGCTGGTAATGGCTTTGAGAAAATTATCTGTGATTATACCACTTGTGTAGGCATGGCAAATGATGTACTGAAGGCATACTCATTCCAAGTGTAATTAGACCCAGCAGTAAATAAAATCCAGTGCATTTTAAATTTGAAGAGGTACGCAGACTACTATGCATGTGGGATTCCCCAAGAATCTCTGGAAAACATAACCAAGGCACAGTAATAAAAAGATATAACTAGCTAAAAACTAGTGTGAGCTGCGTGTTAACTGAATGTTAAATCTGAAGAGCCTATTTAATAAACCGCCCTTTTGAATCATTTGGATCAACTTTGCGCCTTTGGCTGTTACGCAAGCATAAAGCAATTATCTCAGCAAATAAAGGATTCATTATCATTATTATTATTAGCAAAAATAACGCAATCGTTCATTTTCGAGGCTTTATCTTCACGTTCTTTTGGAACCGACCCCCATAGATATATCTCTCCCCTCCCCCCTCCCCCCTCAATACCAAAACGGACTTTCGAAAGCTACAACTTCTTTACTTTCGTTCCAATCGGCGACTTTTCACTTTTCCAAAAAAAGGAAGAAAGATACGTAAATTTCTGTAGTTTTGTTTATTTTTTTCTTGTAAACTAGCTCTCGGGAGGAGTCGGAGGAGTACAGTGGCCCAAAGCGCGGGAAGATATACGTCATAAGGATAGCGTGATGTGAATCACGTGAATGCTTCAATATTTCTTGATTCCAAGAAATCAATCTGAACACGAATTAATCCTCAAGGTATAAACAAGATAAACTCGTTCTCAAAATCTATGTGTTAATTATTCGTTAATCATGGCGATGCCTAATGCAACAGACATAACAAAGGCATCAGAAATTTTAACCTCAATCTCGGCAAGTCTTTCGATGGTTGGCGCAATCGGCATCATCGCTACTTACATTACATGGCGAGAGATACGTTCTTCTCCTCGTAAGATTTTAGTCTACATCTCGATCGCGGATTTCTTTACAGCTTTTGGTAACATGTTTTCTGTTCTTATGAGCTCACATGGGAATGATGAGAAATTATTATGTGAAGCGCAAAGCTTCATTACGACATGTTCTAGTCTGTGGTCATTCTTTTGGACAACATTCTTGGCTATTTATCTTTACTGTAGTGTGGCGTTGAGAAAACCGAGCCTTGCCGAGCGTCTGCTTTTGTTTTTTACCTTCTTTGGTTGGGCTATCCCACTTGTTATAACTGCCATAGCCCTTGGAAAAGGAGCGCTGGGGGATGATGACAATAATTTCTCTGCTGGCTGGTGTTGGATCAAGACCAAGGGCAAGAACAAAACAGAGCAATTATTATGGATGTTGTTTACTGGCAAAGCTTGGGAAATCGCCACTTACATATTGATAGCCGTGTTCTACACAGCTTTGAGATGTTATATTCACAAAGATGTAAGTTGAAAGGGCATTCATTACTGTTCTTTATGACAGGTGTTTCAGGAACTGGGTTTCACTTTCTTTAGGGGATATTTTGGGGAATTTTTTCATGAAAACAAGAGTATGAATTGACATGGAGCTTCAGAGCACTGTACTACAGATGTCACTGAACTGGGTTTTCACATCAGAAAAACATGCCACAGTCCTGCCTCCACAGTCTAAAATTCCGTACACAAATATTAATTAAAAACTTTAAGGCTGTATTCCTTTTTTCACGTGTTGGCCAATTGATAAATTTGTTAATAAATTTTCTTACACACAATTTTTCACAGGGAAGGCACCACGCGTGACCATGGCATGCTTTTCTTATGTGATATCCCATTTGGGTGACATCTGCACTTAGTATGTAATTCTTGGGGGACGTTATGTCAAAGTCACCATGTTGGTTGACAATAACAAAGCATTCCTCATTAGCTTCTCTTGTTAGATCGAGCAACTGTTTCATTGTTATTAATATATACCTCAAGGGAATTTGAGTCATGGTTGCACTCCAAGAATAAAAAAATTCTTTTAATCAAGCAGTATAATAAAAGGATTTGGAATGGGGGGAAAGGACTGTGTAGGACATTCTTTTGGGGGGAGTGGGGTG